TAAACCAAGTTTTCATGAATTAATTGTTTTTCGACTACCTAACCTACCTAACCTAACCTAACCTAACTTTTTCCGCTACCTAACCTAACCTAACATATAAAGATAGGTTTGGTTAGGTTAGGTAGGGTTAGTTAGGTTTGGTCATATATCTACGTTAATTATAACTCCAATAAAAAAAATTGACCTCATACATAATGAAATGGTTAGATTTATCATTTCATAAGAAAAAAATTAGAGAAAATATATTAATTCAGGAAAACTTGGCTTATTAGGCAAATCGGGCCTTGCATAGTAGGCTGATAAGTGTGTTCTGGCTATTAGGTACGACATATATATATATATATATATATATATATATATATATATATATATATATATATATATATATATATATATATATATATAAACTGAAAACTCCCACCCCAGAAGTGACTCGAACCCATACTCCCAGATGCCACGCAACTGGTATGTACAAGACGCCTTAATCCACTTGACCATCACGACCGGACATAATGAGGTGATAGCCGAGGCTATTTGAACCACCCCACCGCCGGCACTCGGATAGTAATCTTGGGCATAGCATTTTACCAAATCACCTCATTCTTTGGGGCACACGTGAGGAACACAAATGCGAACAAGCCTGAATGGTCCCCAGGACAATATGCAACTGAAAACTCACACCCCAGAAGTGACTCGAACCCATACTCCCAGATGCCACGCAACTGGTATGTACAAGACGCCTTAATCCACTTGACCATCACGACCGGACATAATGAGGTGATAGCCGAGGCTATTTGAACCACCCCACCGCCGGCACTCGGATAGTAATCTTGGGCATAGCATTTTACCAAATCACCTCATTCTTTGGGGCACACGTGAGGAACACAAATGCGAACAAGCCTGAATGGTCCCCAGGACAATATGCAACTGAAAACTCACACCCCAGAAGTGACTCGAACCCATACTCCCAGATGCCACGCAACTGGTATGTACAAGACGCCTTAATCCACTTGACCATCACGACCGGACATAATGAGGTGATAGCCGAGGCTATTTGAACCACCCCACCGCCGGCACTCGGATAGTAATCTTGGGCATAGCATTTTACCAAATCACCTCATTCTTTGGGGCACACGTGAGGAACACAAATGCGAACAAGCCTGAATGGTCCCCAGGACAATATGCAACTGAAAACTCACACCCCAGAAGTGACTCGAACCCATACTCCCAGATGCCACGCAACTGGTATGTACAAGACGCCTTAATCCACTTGACCATCACGACCGGACATAATGAGGTGATAGCCGAGGCTATTTGAACCACCCCACCGCCGGCACTCGGATAGTAATCTTGGGCATAGCATTTTACCAAATCACCTCATTCTTTGGGGCACACGTGAGGAACACAAATGCGAACAAGCCTGAATGGTCCCCAGGACAATATGCAACTGAAAACTCACACCCCAGAAGTGACTCGAACCCATACTCCCAGATGCCACGCAACTGGTATGTACAAGACGCCTTAATCCACTTGACCATCACGACCGATGGATTAAGGCGTCTTGTACATACCAGTTGCGTGGCATCTGGGAGTATGGGTTCGAGTCACTTCTGGGGTGTGAGTTTTCAGTTGCATATTGTCCTGGGGACCATTCAGGCTTGTTCGCATTTGTGTTCCTCACGTGTGCCCCAAAGAATGAGGTGATTTGGTAAAATGCTATGCCCAAGATTACTATCCGAGTGCCGGCGGTGGGGTGGTTCAAATAGCCTCGGCTATCACCTCATTATGTCCGGTCGTGATGGTCAAGTGGATTAAGGCGTCTTGTACATACCAGTTGCGTGGCATCTGGGAGTATGGGTTCGAGTCACTTCTGGGGTGTGAGTTTTCAGTTGCATATTGTCCTGGGGACCATTCAGGCTTGTTCGCATTTGTGTTCCTCACGTGTGCCCCAAAGAATGAGGTGATTTGGTAAAATGCTATGCCCAAGATTACTATCCGAGTGCCGGCGGTGGGGTGGTTCAAATAGCCTCGGCTATCACCTCATTATGTCCGGTCGTGATGGTCAAGTGGATTAAGGCGTCTTGTACATACCAGTTGCGTGGCATCTGGGAGTATGGGTTCGAGTCACTTCTGGGGTGTGAGTTTTCAGTTGCATATTGTCCTGGGGACCATTCAGGCTTGTTCGCATTTGTGTTCCTCACGTGTGCCCCAAAGAATGAGGTGATTTGGTAAAATGCTATGCCCAAGATTACTATCCGAGTGCCGGCGGTGGGGTGGTTCAAATAGCCTCGGCTATCACCTCATTATGTCCGGTCGTGATGGTCAAGTGGATTAAGGCGTCTTGTACATACCAGTTGCGTGGCATCTGGGAGTATGGGTTCGAGTCACTTCTGGGGTGTGAGTTTTCAGTTGCATATTGTCCTGGGGACCATTCAGGCTTGTTCGCATTTGTGTTCCTCACGTGTGCCCCAAAGAATGAGGTGATTTGGTAAAATGCTATGCCCAAGATTACTATCCGAGTGCCGGCGGTGGGGTGGTTCAAATAGCCTCGGCTATCACCTCATTATGTCCGGTCGTGATGGTCAAGTGGATTAAGGCGTCTTGTACATACCAGTTGCGTGGCATCTGGGAGTATGGGTTCGAGTCACTTCTGGGGTGTGAGTTTTCAGTTGCATATTGTCCTGGGGACCATTCAGGCTTGTTCGCATTTGTGTTCCTCACGTGTGCCCCAAAGAATGAGGTGATTTGGTAAAATGCTATGCCCAAGATTACTATCCGAGTGCCGGCGGTGGGGTGGTTCAAATAGCCTCGGCTATCACCTCATTATGTCCGGTCGTGATGGTCAAGTGGATTAAGGCGTCTTGTACATACCAGTTGCGTGGCATCTGGGAGTATGGGTTCGAGTCACTTCTGGGGTGTGAGTTTTCAGTTGCATATTGTCCTGGGGACCATTCAGGCTTGTTCGCATATATATATATATATATATATATATATATATATATATATATATATATATATATATATATATCACTGATACAAATCAATTCTTAATCATATTTTAGTTATATATTTGTAAATGCTACTTAGTGATTGGCATTTCTAAGGTTATGGTGTTGTAAATCATTATGTTTACAAATCACATTTTTTTCTAATTTTTTCACTCGTACCTACAATATGTGTGGTTTATTTTACATGTACAGAATAAGCCATTTTACATGCATTTAGCGTTTAAAGTAAAAAATACTGATAAAATTAAAATCAGGTATAAAATTAACTCTTTTATGTATAGAAGCCTTTGACATATTCAGGAGTCATGTCTTCTCTGACATAACCTGGTTCACAGGTTCGTGCCGAGTGCAGTTAGTAAACGCAAGTTATTGACAGTTTCGTAAAGTCCACTACGGGCTCACCATAGCCCGTGCTACTTGGAACTTTTTGTTCCAGATAGCGAATCTTAAACAACAACAACAACGACGACAGTTTCGTGTGTTCCTAATACCGTGCTAAATTTGCAGTTGCAAAATTCCTGGTGTTTAGTTGAAGCGACACTTAAGAATTAATTTAGAAACAGAATTACCGACAACTTCCTTGCTAATGAGTGTCGATCCTTTCATTGTTGAATACTTGCTAATGTGCCAACTTATTATCCCGTTTTCTGTTGGCTGGTTGGTGAGAGCTGTGACGGTGGGCCTGATGTTGGACGCGTTTCGATCCAGTGCCAGAATATAGTTAGATCTCAGCTTGGTATTTGATGCTTGAGAAGCGATTATGAACATAAAACCTGCCATGATACCACTCGCCCGCTCGTAACCTTCCTTGGCACCTCTTCACCATTTTTAATTTTTATGGCGTCTTTGTGGGTCTGGTCCATTTATTACCTTGTCTTGAATGATTATTGCTTCGTTCTCTGCTCTTTAATTTTCGTCTCTGAAGCGTGGTCATTCTCAGAGAAGTACGATCGGGAGAAGCCACACGGAAGCCATTTATTTTGTCACTAACATATTATTATTATTTTAAAAGGTCGAGGTCATTTTGACTGCCAAACACGTTTTGAAAGATTTGCGAAAGATGTTGACGTGTAACTACGTTGTTAAGCAATTATTTTATATAATAATATGCGAACTTAACTCGTGACGATTGGAACAGAAACACTTTTCATTCATCACTTCTGCCCTAAGAGCAAATATGTACGGCAAAACTGGAACAAATATTGTTTAATTTTATCTTGTCAGTGCAAACTTGCATATATTTAATTGTTGCATAATCTTATGACCCTTACTATGTCAAGGGAAACGTTGCCAATATGAATAATTTTAGTCTGATCTGTCAATACACACAGAGATCACACTAACGTGATGCATCAAATGAACAAATCCACAAGGGCGGTGACGAGGATCCGAACCTGCCTCCCGGACGCATGTTCGAATCCTCGTCACGGCCCTTGTGGATTTGTTCGATATGTCAAATTTACAGGCAGAGCGTCCAACAAGTTTCGTCGCTTTTCTTTTGCTCTATTGTTAGTGTGTGAGTGTATGTATCGCGCTTCCCATCTGCCTTACATATAATGAATGGCATGGCACACAGTGTAAAACGCATATGTGTTGAAGGTTATGCTCTCCGACTCCTGTATTTTGTTTTCATTTAATACAATGTTAGATATATTTTAGTTGTCCCTTAACATGAATACGAAACCACATGCCATGGTGATTGTTATTCTCATACAGAAAGACACAATACACGCGCTGATATAACCCACGCTCAGACACACAGGCGGCAGCTCCTACCCCAGACAACCTTCCTCACAGAGACAATATTCTAACTTGCTTTCCAACATACAAAATACTGAAACTTAGTCATATTGCATATGACAACAAAATATTTAAAATGATTAGTCCATTATTCTAAAAATATAATAACAATTTCGAAACTAATGTTGACAGAAAATTATTGCAGGATATTCAAGCCTAAATAAAGCGTATTTTATTAGGAAAACATTTGTACTATCAGCAGGAGAAATAAGGAGACAGTAAGTGACTGGTAAATAAGGCAAAAATAAGGCAAAATGGAGTTGGAAATTACCCAAAGAACAGTGTCGCACAAGGTGACGACAATCACCAAGACGGAACAATACTTCAAGTCTAGTGTGAGTATTTATTATTATTTCTGGTTTTTCTATGAAATTATATATATATATATATATATATATATATATATATATATATATATATATATATATATATATATATATATATATATATATATATGCGAACAAGCCTGAATGGTCCCCAGGACCATTCAGGTGTGAGTTTTCAGTTATATATATATATATATATATATATATATATATATATATATATATATATATATATAATCGATGTTACTACCCTCTCTTTAGCTTTATCATAGTTGCGTTACCAGTTTTTTTTAAAGTTGTGCTCTTGATTTTTATTTATCTTGTTTTTCTTTTGTTTTATTTACAGCTTAATACTCCTTATGTGTGTTCTAGAGAACTGTTGTGCTTCTTGCGTAGCCGCTTTGTGGTTGAATTGATACATATTAGACCTCCATTGGAAATATTGTATATTTATTTTATAATGTATATTTTCATATTGATCCATATTTTTAATATAGATAACTGCAGTTCTGATATTTTTATTCAATTTTTTTTAAATAGCCATAGCATTATTTTTAATAATAGTTCTAAAATAGATCAAGACCAACTTAAATGCTTGTTAGTTTAAGCCATTTATTAACATGGCTAAAATTCTAGCCATGCATCACAGACCCTTCGGGATACTGTAGAATTTATTTATTTATTTATTTATATATATACAAGAAGGTACATTGGGATTGTGAGGATACATAGTATGATAATTACAATCTTGTAAAGCCACTAGTACGCGCATTGTTTCGGACAGGTAAAGATAAGAGCAGAATCAGAATTTTGGGCAGAATCAAGATAAGCATCGAGCTTTATCTTATGGTATAAGCTAAAATTGGTCAGGTGCTACGAGAGAGACGTGTTATGTGAGAGGCTGCAACAAGAGAATGTCGGAGGGAGCCTAGTGCTGGCATTACGAGAGAGAATGGGTTAAAGGAAGGGGGAAAGTTGGGAGGGGGGCGCTTATCATGTCTCTCTGTGCCTTCTTTCCTTGACTGTTGTAAGCTTCAGTTAAAAAAAAAATCCTCATAGTTCATGCCTCTAGCTCAGTCCAAGAAAAAGAAGTGTTTTATGTCTCTGAATATTTAAAAAAATCGATTTCTGATTCATTAGGCGGGAGTCCGTCATTGAGATTGCGTTCTCAATATTGGATCTCATACAATCTATTTGATAGGCAATTGATTTATCCAGCTCAGTGCTCTTCGAGGTACACTGACTTGGTCCTCACGTTGTATACCAGTTTGTATTGCTGAATGGTATTAAATATTAATTTGATGTTGAGAAGGACGCATCCGCCTTCCCTTCCTTCTTCACCAACGTTACGCAAATCTTGTCGTATAAATCTTTTTCATGCTGGACTTTCCTTAGTTTAATTTATGTTGGCGTTTGGAAACTATATTCAGTCTTTCTGTACAGTTCAAGGGTATCCTGATTGGTCTATACTAACACTATGCATTTGTTAGTGATACCGGTCTTTTTCTCAGTGGTTCCTGTCTGTATTATTTCCTGTAAGTATATTAGTTTATTGGCTGCTCTCCAAATGTCTGTCAGTTCTCTCATTTCTAGAGAGATGTTGAGACTGTCTACACTACTTATTGCTGCTTCTTTCAGTATCCACGATGACACTTAGTTCCTTCTAGCTCTAGTTATTTCTGGACTTCTTTTGTTGTCTCTCATTGAATGGTATCTGAGGGTTCTCTTGTAGTCAGGTGACTGAAGGTTCTATTTTGAAGATTTCTTACAACTTTTCGTGAGAACTCAACATACTTCCTTGTCACTTTATATCCCTTCCATCTTATTTGTTTAATCTGATTATTTTATCATTAGCATACATTTTCTTTGAACTTTTATGAAGAAATCGTTAATTATATTTAATCCTCTTATCTATATGTGAGCTTCTCATGTTATCATTACTCTGTACCTTCCTAATCAAAGAACAGCACACATTGATCACCGACTCCTAGTGGCACCTCGTAATGTACATCCGTGTGTGTGTATTTATCTATCATTGACTACCAGGCTAGTGACTTTACAATGCCAAATATGATCAATTCTAAATCATCAACCATACAGGAGCTGGCCTGGATCATACTCTCCTTGAACACTCTACGTGAGGTGCTCCATCCCTGGTGACCTCCACGGAGACACAAAGCCAGTGGCCTGTCAAAGGTTCCCCATTAGCTCCGAGAATTTTGTCCAAATGTACTGTAAAGTGAATTGCTGTTTTGACATTTACAGCTTCGGCGGATAGGTGATTCCATGGGTTTATGACCGTATGGGTGAAAATAGCATTTCCTGATCTTTGCCCTATATTGTGACTTGAGGTGGAAACCGTCAATCCGTGTTTACGTTACATAGGACCTTTCAAAGAAGTGGTCTGGATTATTGTATTGTAATTTGTCAACACACACAGCTCATGTAACAGAGATCTGACTTGAACAGGACTTAGATTTCTTCTCAGAAAATCATCGCAAGCAATATTTTTAACATTAACGTTGAGCGTTTAAGTAACTAGAACACCCAACCTACACAACCGAAAAAAAGAAATACCGACGTTTCGGTCCAGACCATTATAAAATTAGGTGACTAATTTGCAGGGGCGCCAATGCAACACTCTTAATCTACGTCAATGCACCACTCACAATTTACTTGGTGTAGCGATTGCAATACACTTTAATATAATGTAAAACTAAAATACATTTTAATTGCGGCTGTAAAGTGGTTGCAAACATCCATACCTACGAAAGCCTTCTGTTTATAAACGTGAACGAGCAACGCATCTTGTCAACAATATTTACTGTTGGCAGTTAACTGTTAAAGTTTTTTTCTAGAAATATTGAAGATCCCTGTTTCGTAACTTCCTGGCAAGAGTATTGTTTAGGCGTGATCCGTTTATTGTATTTAAGGCTGTTGCTGTCTGACTCTTCTTGGTCTCCGTCAGCCTACACGACCTTTATTCTCAGTCGCCAAAAATTATTTGTTTTCCAGTACTTCTGAAGTACACTAATACCCTATGAAAGGCTGTCGTTGGTGAGTGAGGCTGTCGTTGGTGAGTGAGGCTGTCGGTGGTGAGAGAGAGGCTGATGAGCCACTGATGAGTGAGGTTGCTGTTAGTGAGAGAAGCTTCCGTTGATGAGTGAGGCTGCCGTTAATTACAGAGACTGCGGTTAATGCCAGAGCAGTGTGTGTGTGAACATTGGCGTCACTTCTAGCCTTATCCTGTGTTGATGTTGCTGTTTGTTAGTCATCATATATTTAGAGCCGGGAGCCGTGAGCTGTCGCTGGAGAACAAAGTGTTGACTTGTATTTGCTGAGCGTAACTAATTTAAGCATTACGCTGTAAATTGCTACCCAAAAAAAGTCAAATATTAGGCTCCCTGCCAGAGACATTGGACTGTGATGCTATGAAAGTTTCTTTAAACTAAACTTTTAACTCGGTGGTCTGTGACTTGCATGGCGGCTGGTATATACAATTAGTCTTCCCAGAGACCAGATAAAGCGTGATTCATTTGTTTCTGGCACGGCCTCGCCTCCGTCTTGGCTAGTCCCTGGCTAGTGCTATGGCGTCCCCCACCATTGTGAGAGCTAGTTGGCAGGGTGACGCCAGGGTGACTCGAACCCTGATCACTGGTTCGAGTCACCTCATTGCTCCAATTAATTTTCTTATCCTACGAATGTTACTTATTATATGAGTATTCCCTATATTCAAAAAGTTCAATAGGTACTAATGAAAGAAGTAAACAAGATTTTTTAATCGTATTAAATCATGCAGGTTTCAACCGATAAAATTTTACAATTGGTGTTTATTAATTAACTTATATAAATGTTCAGGGCGGCCATTACTCCAATTGACAGCTACTTTACATACCCGATAAGATTGAAAACGTTTAGCAATTACAGGAAATACATTTATGTTAACATATTATTAGTAACAGAAGAGGCAACAGTAGTAATAATACCAATTGTAGAAGTAGTAGTAGAATTGCAAAGTAGAAATAATAATATTAGTAGTATATGTTTATATATTTTTATGTAGATTTTTTTAAAAATATACAAAAATAAGCACAAGATCGACAACGCATTATAAGCATGAGTGCATGAGTGGCACTGCATGAATGGCTCTAAGAACTCATGGGGAGTCCCACGCCGCATGAGGAACCGACCAGTCTGGTTTCAGGGACCCCTCACGGGGAGTCCCGCGCCCGCAAACCATAAAAGAGTTCTAATATTGGCAGGGCGTATTTGTGGTCTTCCTTCCCCGGGAGGCGGAGAGCGCCCTCTGCGTCACCCCTCACACTCACCAGCCCACAATGTAAACCAAGATTTTGGTTTGCCTGCAGAAAAAAAGTTTAGAGAAACGGAGTTTTTGCTTGCGTGTGAGTGTGTGTGTGTATTCACATAGATGCTTCTGCAGGGGTCTGGTATCAACTCTTAAGCCTCCCTTTCAACCATCAGTAGTTCAATGGAACGAGTAGTAAACTCTCTAGTTTTGCTTTTCACATACACATTAATGTGCATTGAATTAACATCAACTTCTTTATTTTTGTGACTAATTTCTGTCTAAGGTTCTTAGACACAAAAACCTTCAAACTGTTCCTCAGTTTGATTATTATTTCTTTGTCTACTTGACCACTGTCCCCTGGTCTTGTAAGCCAATATTATGTTTGTCATATTCCTTCTACTCGGCATGGCTGAGGTCCACTGTTCCCTCAAGTATTTTTCCTAGATCAGTCCCCCCTTATCTCACGAATACGACGTCGTTCTCCCAGAACTAAGACGTCGTACTCCAAAGGCTTAAGACGCCATACTGCCGGGATTAAGACGTACTCCCATTATTTTAATGCCATACTCCCAGGATTTACAAGAAATAAAAGAACTCTTTTTACAAGAGAGAAGTTACTTCATAAATTTACAAGAACGTAAGAACTCTTTTACATATAAATAAAATTAAAAAATACAATTTAGACACCATACTCCCAGGA